CAATGTTATGTTAACTACTTTTTTCTGTTCCTGTCTCTTCCTATCTCCTCTGACACTCCAATTACATGTATTTTAGTTCACTTGATATTGCCCCACAGGTCATTGAGATTCCAGTTATTTTTGCTGTCTTTTTTCTTGTGCTTCATTTTGGATAATTTCTATTACTATTATTTAATATTTTCCTCTACAGTTTTTAATCTACCATTAAGCTGATCCAGTGAAATTTTCATTTCAGATTTTGTATTTTTCATCTATATAAAGGGCCATTTGGTTCTTTTAAAATACTTTTTACTTCTCCTCTCATTCTGTTCATGTTTTCTTTTAAATTCTTGAGCACATTTCTAATAGCTACTTTTAAATCCTGTCTGCTAATTCTGCCATTTCTGAGTCTGCTTTTATTGATTGATTTTTCTCTTGATTACCAGACTCATTGTCCTGTGGGTTTTTTGGGTTTTTTTTTTTCATATCTAGTAATTGTTTACTAGCTGCTAGATTTTGTGACTATTACATTATATAGAATGTCTAGGTTTTGTTTATTCATTTAAAGAATATTAAGTAAGCAATAAATGTATGGAGAGGCAGATCAATTTATTTCTTTGAAGGCTTGTTTTGAGGCTTGTTTAGGTGAGTCTATACTAACCTTTATTCTAGAGCGCAATTATCCCTGTTACTAAAGTGGGATTCTTCTGTGGCCTCTACTAATGTCCTCAGTGTCTGTTGTATTCTGGCTGAATGGAACTTGAACATTTTCTAGTCCTGAAAAAGCTTTAGAGATTATTTAGCTATAATTTTCCAGCAGTTATTTGCCCATCCTCAAACAGATTCTGTCTATGTATCTATAGCTTACTATTAAGCAATAGACTCAAGGGAATCTCTATGTTCATTTCTGAATTTCTTTTTTCTGCCAGCTCCCTCCTCTCCAGCACTCTCCCTCACACATTCTGGCTGCCCCAGCCTGCCCAAACTTTGATCTCTGTCTTTTTGACCCAGTGAGTCAGCCATGCTCTGTTAGGGTTCTTCTTACCTGTACTGTGGTCTGGGAGAGTGTGCCTCTTTGCAGAGGAAGCTGTTGTAATTGTGTTGCTTCTGTTCTCACCTTTATCACAGTTCCGCACTGTCTGTTGTCCAATACCTGAAAACAGCTGCTTCATATATTTTGTCCTGACTTCTAGGGCTTTGTGGTGGGACATCAATTCCAGAATCAGTCATTCCATTTTAGCCAGGGTGAAATAATGCTGCCAATTTTTTTAAACCTTGCATATGAAAAATAAACTCCTAGAATGGATGGCTCTATGATGGAAGAGGGTTAAGGGGAAGAGATGCAGAGGCACACATATAACTATATAACTTTGCCAGAAGCCTGAGAAATGTATTGTATTTAGAAACATTTTTCTCCTTGATTTCAACATGAAATTCAGTGGAAATATTAAATTTGTTTTTGAGAGTTAGGAAAAGTTTCAGCCTTAGGTTATGATATTTCTTCCACTAAATGAAGGTTAATCAGGCCATTTTACTAATATTGCAATATTGTTAATTTGGGTCCTTGATAATAATGAAGTGGTGGCTGCTACTGATGCTGATAACATTTATTTAAGTACCTCCAATGAACCAGGCACTGTGTTCGACTCTTCACATCAACTATTTTTAATCTTGCACAACAACTCTGCAAGTTTGAAATCATGATTCTTCAGAGACTCAGGGAGGTAAAAGTTCCTCAGGCTCACACACTCTGACTAAAGTATTCCATGGTACTTTTGTGGCTGCAACTGGGAAGCAGCCTCAGCTCACCACTAGCAATGACTCCTCCATTATTATGCTGCTCCCTGATTCTATCTTCACCTGAGCTTTCCCATCTGGCAAATTAAAGTGGAAAGCAGTTAACTCCCTCCCCAGAGATGCTGCGCTATTATATAGATGGTTTGCATTATTTTGCTTTGAATAACATCATATGTAAATGTGCTCCTGGAGGTTAAAATTATTATTTTTTTAAAAACTTGGCCTCTCCCACTGGGGTAAGTACTAATAGCTGAAAGTTATGGAGAGGAAAAGGCAGACTAGAATTGTTAGTTGGCTTGGAATTGCTTCTCCACCTTCCTATCCACCCAACACATATTTCAGGTATAAGCTGCCATGACAGAGTAAAGATTAGTACATTTCCTGTCACGGAGTCCTAGCTAGTTCTGATATTCAGTGTCTAGAGTGTGTTAATCCAGATATTAATCATTAACTCTGCATCAGGTGGATGTGTAGGGGGCAGATGTTCTTGCTGAGAAGAATAAACACCTCTTGTGGCACCTGGAAGACTTTATGACACATGGTCCAGAGCTTGGTCACAAAGAGATTCTAGTAAACATGGGCACTTTGCTGCCTCTAACCATCTACCTCTGGTTTGGAGGTTGGCATCTGCCTTCGACGTCAGCTCTCCTGTGGGCCCTGCATTGTTGAGTCCTCCCTATCTTAAACCGCCTTTCCTGGCATTTGAATCATCACTTCGATGATGTGATAATATCTGCAAGTTGGGAAAATAAAAGTGGCATTTGTTTAGCCATAATTAATGAAATATTTATGTTGCATGAGACTATGTGATAAAACCTTAGGCTTAGAGTCCTTTTGCTTCTGATTACATTTGGGATTTTTTTTTCTATGACCAGACATTCTGACGCCAGCTCTTTTACACTGAGCAGATGTCATGTAGTAAAAATGGGTGCCAGATGCTGTGAGCCGCAGAAGGGCGATTTGTTTAAGAGCTGGCTCTGACTTTTTTTGCATTCAATTACTCTGCAGAACAAACCTTACACAAGCATTTAGGTAACTCAGCTAACTTCAGACAAGCATTTTAATAATAGATTTCATCTCTGAATGCATTCTAAGCAATAAACCATATAAATGGTGTTTAAGGAATTAATTGATTTCTGCATAATACCATTATTTTTCACGTGAAGAGAGAGCTGCAAAGCTCTTGGCAGGGACCCAGAGATGTAATTAACGTGGAGGGCCAAATTTTCAGTTGCCCTTAGGTACTGTCACCTCATGCTCATGGCAGGTGCACTGAGGGGAGGGCAGGGAGGAAGGGAATCGGGGTAGAGGAAAGGAGGGAGAGGCAGCTTTGGGTCACTAAGAAAAGAAGCTACGAGTTCAGTGAGTTCCTCTGTTCCCATTTCAGGTCCCAAGCGCATGCCCATCAGGGCGCAGGTGACAGGGGTCACCTCTTCCACCTCTTCCACCACCTCCTCCTCTGCAGATGAAGAATTTGATCCCCAGCTTTCCTTGCAGTCAAAGGTAACAACACTTGGCAAACCAAGAAGGGCCTTGGCTTTTGGGGCTGTTTACCATCCAGATTTCAGACCCAATGTGGGCTCCAGCTGCAGTGGCTTCATTAGGAGGATCACGTTTCATTGCAGCTGACAGCAACTGCTCTTTCTACCTGGACTACCCCAAGAATTATCTCTTTTTTTGCTGTTGTTGTTGTTGTTGCTAATTTTTATAAGCTTGCCTTTCTCTGAGATGTAAAATTGGGGAGGGGGAAAAAAAAAACCAGACGTATTTCTTTGAAACCATTTGGTGACTGCAGCTCTTACAGGGGGTTTAATTTGTGGTCCAACAAGCAAACTATCGAAAAAATTACAACAAGCAGATGCATATTTCTCTGGAGGGAGCACAGCTTCATTTAAGAAGCACTCGAGGCAGATTGCATGGAAAACGTTATGTTTATTCTAATCAGAAATATGAAATGAACCATGCAGTTGCATGTAGACATGGGTACTCCAAGGATCCCTGCTGTGGAAGGAGCTAGCCAGTGCTGGCTGGGGAGATGGCAGACCTCCTTGCTTAATGAGCATTAATATTGCTGGTGAACGCTTTACAGAAGTCCCATGCCCATAGATTTAAAAACACAAACATTGTTATATGTCTGTACATGTATTGGTCACATACACAGAGACATGCATCCCATGACTAAAGCTCTCTGTTGTTTTCCTTTCTCCACGGGGGCTAGAGCAGTTTCACTGGGGCTGGGACACCGAGTGGCTGGACCTAAAATGACTCCCAGGTGGACAGAGACACAGCTCACTGCTCTGGCGGTGTTTATTTTTTGGAGCAGTGTGGATCTGAAGAGAAAGGGAGGGAACCAAATTTATTTACTTAGAGTCAACTTTTCCATAGCTGGCGTTAGGAGCTTTGGCGTCATCTCAAGTCACTCAGGGGTTCCAGCTCCCCACGGCCCAGCCTGGAGCAAGTCAGGAGGGGGCTGGGACATGGCGTGCGTGCGTGCGTGCGTGTGTGTATGTGTGTGTGTGTGTGTGTGTGTGTGTGTGTGTGTGTGTGTGTGTGAGAGAGAGAGAGAGAGAGNGAGAGAGAGAGAGAGAGAGGGAATGAGAGATTATGGATGGACTCCTAATTTTCTAACTGTGGGTGTCTCTGATTAGTTTGTTACTCAGCACAAATTAATTCTATGTTTTGTGTGTTGATTTTGGGGATTTCCTCACTACCCCTCTTATCCCTTTGAGTGACCCTGAGTTATTTCTGTATTCAAATGAGGCAGAGGCCCCAGCATCAGCCATCCTGACACTCTTGGAAAATAAGAGAATGGAGTGGCCCAAGCACATCAAAATAGCAAGACAATGATATCTAGGGCAAACCTTGCAGCTAGCCCCCTGTCCCCTGCTGGCCCAGAACAAAGCCAGGCATTCCTTCAGCTTGCAGCAGGGTCAAGCTTGCCTCCTTCACCTGGCTTCTGACATGGCCTGCTCTTATAGGAAAGGAAGCTAGCCAAAGGGTTACTTCCTTACGATTTCCCAAGGGCTCACACTGAAGGGACGAAGGGAGTTTTTCCCCTCTAGTTTCCTTCTCTCTTCTGTCCCATACAGGTGTGTCCCCAGGCATGTGGCACAGAGCCCACATCAGCTCAAATGAGCCTTTGCACAGAAACCTGGAGACAGGACCTGCACACGGCACCCCCTCTCTTTGCTTTGCCCCTCTCCCCTCCCTGCGGCCTCTACCCAATGCCTGGGTCTGAGAGACGGGGGCATCTTTTTTTGTTTTCGTCCTTAGTCTTCCTTTTCCTCTCTGTAGCGTCATCACCATCACTGAGGATGTAAGAACTGTGCCTGGCACATCGTAAGGCTACATGAGCATTAATAAGTCATCCTTCATTTGTATGTCAACATCTTTTAATAAACAGCCACAAAGGACTTTCTTTCCTCTTCTAGGTTCTGTTTTGCTGACTCTTGATAAAACAGCTGGGGTTTGGCAGCTTTGCTGCTGGGAAGTGCTAAGAAGGCACGAGGCTGTTGAAGTATCCTCCCTTGTAATTGTATTAAAAATGGTCTTCATTTAGAGGAAAATGTTGCCATTTCTCTAAAGCAGAGATGGTTAGTGTGCCTGGCAGTATTCAGCACAGGAAAGGTAGAATTACTAATTGTGTCACCTTGGGCAAGTTATTCAGCCTGTCTGAGTTTTGATTTTCTTATCTGTAAAGTTTAATTCGAGGGATAAATAAGGTGATGCCTGTAATCAGTACAGTGCCTGGCACATAGCACTCAATAAATGCTGAGCCTTACAATATAGGTTAGTAGACTATAAACTCGAGAGATATTGGTTAAGTAAATGAACTGACACTCCATAAACTGAGTTACCCTATCTCTGGATAACAACTACCAGTGATCTCTACCACACCTCCCCTGCACCGGCCCCCACCCCAGCCTTTCCAGAAAGGTCCTGGCTGCCTAACAGAGGGGTTCCCCAACACAAATGGCCCAGAACCTCTGTTCAAAGTGGTTGGCAGTCAATCTGGAAGTCATCCCCTAGGGATAGAGATGATATGATATGGAATGAGTTTCAGTTCTGAGAGCCAAAATTTCCTTCCAAGGCTGAGATCTTTAGGATTCTAGATCATAAGGAGAATTCTAGAAAAATCAAGTTTCATCATCGAGATAGATGTTTTCACTGATGATCTATAGACATTCTGAATCCTGAAAGCTGGGTGCTTTCCTAAGGAGAGTGATGGTCTCTCTATGGAATGGATGACAGAATGGCAATGATCCAAGAAGCCCTGGAAAGGCACATGCTTTTCAGGCACAGTCTCTAACCTCTGTTATGGACCCAGATTCCTCTGGCTGTCGCTGGGGTCAGCCCTGTTAGGTCTATTCCCCACTTGTACATTTATGGTCCTTTTAATGGACAAATATTCAGTTCAACCGCAGTTATTGAATACCCAGGCACCAGCCTAATGTAGCAATTTTTTTTTTTAGCTGAGCCATCCTGCCACCTGTTGGCAGTTCAGTGGCAGCTCAGCTCAGGCTGGGCATCGAACCGGTGACCCTGTTGCTCAGAGCTCACACTCTTGAGTGAGCTCTTAACCAACTGAGCCACTCGGCCGGCTCAGTAGCAATTTTTTAATTCCATATTTGTTTCTGACAGCATTAAAAAGGAATCTCTAGCATGCTTTAATCCTCATCCTAATATAGAAAATTGATGTGTGTGGTCAGAGAAGGCTAACGCATAATAAAACTAGCCCAATTTGAACATTTATTTTGTATATATAGGATGTACATGTATGTATAATATATATACTCCTACACACATACGCATATAATAGGTATACTGTTACACACCGACACACATATAATAGATGAAAAATAATAGAGTGTAGTAAAAAATTATAATTATGCTAATTTATAATATAACAGTCATGCTAATAATAAAAATAGTATTTACTGAAGAGCTATCATATATATTTTTCAGGTATTCTGCAAAGGGCTTGACTTACCTTATCTCATTTGATCCTTATTACATCCCCACAAAGCAGGCATTAAATTGTACTCATGTCTCTGAAGAGGACACTGAAGTTCAAAAAGCGTGTGACATGCTAAAGTCCATGCAGCTCAGCGAAGGATTGATGCCAGCTTGCATGCCCCCCCGGGCCCAGTGCTCAGCCATTATTATCCTCTGCTCTTTCTCCAATCAGAAGTGTCGCCGGAACTTTCAAATATGTGGAGCTGGCCATACCATTATCTCTCCTTTCTCTGGTATCTAAAACCTGGAAGTAACACCATTAAGATCTAGACATCTATTTTAAATGCATCAATTTGGAAAGTTCTCTGTTTTAGAAGCCCAGGCACACAGAGAACCCAGTGACATTAATGATGTGTTTGTACAAGCAAAGAGAAGTGGCGAAGAAAAACAATCTTTTGCCTCTCTCCAGCCAAGAAACCCTTTCATTTGATTTAGATATGTTCCTCTAGTCCCAGGTTTAATTAGGCAATGTAGAACCAACCTAAGGACTATTTAAAGTTGTTAACTGGTTTGCAGGTAGTATATACGTGTGTGTGTGTGTGCGCGCGCGCGCGCGCGCGCGTGCGCGTGTGTGAGCGCACACGCACGTCCCAGGCTCATCATCATTGCTGGGCCTTATGGGAACACCTATATAGAGTATAATTCTTATATTATTCTTTCCTTCAACTGAACAAAGTCAATGCTCTATAAAGCTACTCCCTACACACACACACACACACACACACACACACACTCACCAACACACCAGTTTCCCAATCTGGTACCTTCTAGCCACACATGGCGATTTAAGTTTACATTTAAATCCATTAAAATGAAATAAAAATTTAAATTCAATTTCTTAATCACTCTAGCCTCATTTCAAGTGTCCAATAGCCACATATGGCTGGTGGCTTCCACGTTTCAGACAGCACAGATATAGAACATTTCGATCACGGCAGAAGGTTCTATTGGACGTCATTGTTCTAGAAGCTAAGTAGTGGTTTGGTTGGAGAGGGCAGAAGCCTATGACAATATTTTAAATTTCAACTCCCATTTTTCTCAGATATAAATTTTGTTCTTCTCTGTTGGTTTTTATAGGAGAGGAAGGCACTTAGAAGAAGAAGGAAGCTGGAAAAAGCAACAAAACAATTGGTTAAGCAAGAAGAGTTGAAAAGACTTCATAAAGCTCAGGTCAGAAAACACACTTGAGAGGAGTGGGGGCGTCTGGGATCCTGGGAATCCGGACCTGAAAGCCCTTTGGAGGTCTATAGAATGCACTGGGGGAAGCGGCCTGGAGAAATCCCTCTTCTCTGAGCCACCAGGTTGGTGGCCACTCTAAAGGCCTTGGCTCAATCCTTGGTGGGACCCTGGGGTATGGACCCAGCTCTTGAGCTGGCCCACTCCCAGCTACTTTTCCGTCTGCAGGCATGTTTCCAGCAAACTGAGCCTGAAACAACAGCCAACATGTGGCCTTGGGAACCATCCCAGGCCTTGACTTTGTCCTTATAGCAGTGGCCTGAGTTTTGCCCTCTTTAAGGTCACAGCCTTCTTCCATCTTCCTGAGAGTGTCTTTGCTAAAGTGACAAGTATTAGGGGGCTGTCTTCATTTCAAAATTAGTTGAAAATATAAGCACCCAGCATTCCGATCCGGTTCCCTGGCATAGTCCAAACATTTCTGTTCAAGTTGATCTGCCCAACTCTGTCACAGACAGGCAAAATAAAGCAGAAAGTCAAGGCTTTCTCCCTTTCCCTGAGGACCCTAAAGCTATCTTTGAAGAACGGTTAGGTTTTAGAACCAAAGGACTTAGAACAGCCACTCATATTATATTAATCCAGTGTATCCTTATATCCCTTTCTCCAGTTATCCCCTTTATCTGGCCATGTAGACCTGTACATTATTTCTGACAAGACGGAAGTAGTGTAATCCAGTTTCCTTTACTCTTCACAGTGGCTGACTTGAGAGCTACCCCTTAACCCAGTGGACAGGGAAAATTCTCATCAAGCCCCTCTGTCCACTCTCAACTTCTGAAACAGGTTTCTTTAAAGCCTTTCAACTTCCCCTTTTGAGAACAAGATAAGTCTTTTTGATATGAATTGGCAAACGCAGCAGTGTCCTCTCATTATATTTTCACTCCAGATAGTAGGTGATGATAAGAGAAGAGTCACGAGGGCCTTTTGAGTCCTATTTTGAAGTCTTTGTTAGTCTTTGAGGTTTTCATCCTTAGTTTCTAAAGAATGACCATGATGTGAGCCAGCTTAGGATGCATAACAACACACCACAGAGTGGGCAGCTTAAAGAACAGAAATGTGTTTTTTTCATAGTTCTGGAGGCTGGAAGTCCAAGATTAAGGTGCCTTCAGGGTTGGTTTCTGGTGAGGACTCTCTTCCTAGTTTATAAACAGCTGTGTGTGTCCTCACGTAGCCTTTTTTTTTCTATGCACATGCAAAGAAAGAGAAAGAGAGATCAATCTCTGATGTCTCTTTCTCTTCTTATAAGGACACCAGTCCTATCAGATTTGGGCCCTACCCTCATTTAACCTTTTTTGCCTCCTTTAAGGCCCTGTCGCCTAACACAGTCACTTTGGGAGTTAGGCCTTCAACATATGAATTTGGGGGGGGGGGTACTCTACTCAGTCCATAACAACCACAGAGCCATAATTGCAAAGTAATCAGTAATAAAGTTATTTAAATGCTTCCCTTCCTTTAGCAATTCTACACTATGCCAGCAAGAGATGGATTTATAAAGATATAATTATCTTTAAAAGAAACACAGAGAGGAAGTGGGCATGAAATTACAAGTAGTTTTAGATAGAATTCCCATCTATTTCAGATTTTATGTTTGGGGCTTAAACACTTTTCGCCTGCACAAGAAGAGCCAGGTGGCTGCTCAAGCCCCACCCTTGCTCAGGTCTCTTCACAGAGTTGGAGGTGCTTTGGCAATTGTACCCCTGAATCCAGGAGACACTTAGAAAAATGTGGAGTTAAGGAGGAAGCAGAGCAAGACAGAGCTGGAGTAAGGTACAGGAGGAAGAACACACACGTTCTACCTGCCCCAACACCTGCCAGTTCCTTTAATATGCCTAGTCTGCCAGGTGCAAAATCTGTTCTGCCAAGAGATGTGCCTTTTGGCAGCACGGTGTCTGAAAGCAGAGAAAGTTGATGGGATGAACAAAATGTACATAGGAAAGGCTTTCCCCTCATTTTCCTTTCTAATATACATGAGAGAGAAATAGCTAAGAGTAGGGAAAGTAAACGTGAAAATGCAAAACCAGTCATGGCCCACCTTTGATAGGTGCCAATGGTGAGTCTAAGGAGAGTGGGAGGTTGACCCTTAATGGGATAAATATCTTGTGTCTTAATAACCTGCTAGGAACAAAGCTACCATCTGCTTGCACAGTAAAAGGCCCATGGGCATTTAGTCCCATGGTGCAATGAAAGAATAGGTACAATCTGTACTGAGAACAGGAGCCGGACACACCTAGTGAGGAGCACCCAGCCCAGGAGTCGGCCCAGGTCTCCTGCTCCAGACCAGCTTCCTGGGAGGGCTCTGCTGGCTCTTCTTAGGGAAATGGAATGAAATGGAATGTAAGCATGGTCTGGGTTTCCTCCGGAGCCCCTGTCCTACTCTGAGTGGCTGCAGCTCCAGTGGTTCTGCCATGAAATAGAGGCTGAGGGTCTGAGGAGTGCAGGAGCCTTGATTCCTGCCCGCCTAGCCCAGCAGCCTCTGCCTACGAGCACATCTGTGTGATAGGACTGGTCAAAGGGGACCATTTTAATGTCTACTTGGGGGCAGACTGAGCTCACACACAGACTCCTTGCTTTATGTCCTCATATTAAAGAGGGGGGATGTCAAGTTCTAGTTGTTTGGGAATTTGGAGGTCCTGACCAAGTTAATCAAAGAGGTGACATCACAACTTAAAGGGTTTCTTCCTCTCGGAAAGTAAATGGCAGAATGGGCCCGCTCGTGTGACTCGGCATGTTGAAAGTCCCCATGTGACTGAGGATCCTGACATTGCAGGCCATCCAAAGGCAGCTGGAGGAGGTGGAGGAACGGCAGAGGGCTTCCGAGATCCGGGGCGTGAGGCTGGAGAAGGCGCTCAGAGGAGAGGCAGGTAGGCTTTCGGCAAACCTGGGCATGGGCCCATGTCTCTGGTCTGAGAATAGCGCTGGTCTAATCATCTGGGCAAAACAGTGAGACTTTGTCACTCTCTGTGGTTACATCAGCATAGACAGATGGTCCTAAATCCACAAGTGTTTCACACTTCCACAATCAACCTGGCAGTCCCGTTTGAAATTACGAGGGGTACCGGTGGGCCTGGGGGCCTGGTCAATGGGTTTCTGGTCTGCCCAGTTATCCACTGCTAGTATGAATGTTCTTTGAAATTCAAGGGTTAAGATAAATTCAGGAGAAATAGTTGGACATTCAAGCAATGTTGGTAGTGATTCATAACCTGGACTTGGAGTCAAAATCCTGGTTTCTTCCTTTACTCTGTATGAACTTGGGCCAGTCACGTTCTAAATCTTTATGAACTTTTGTCCTCTAAAATGGAGATAATAGTGGTTTTCTACCTTATAGAGTTGATGTAAGGATTGAAAAAGAAATTACGTGTGTGTGTGTGTGTGTGTGTGTGTGTGTGTGTGTGTATATATATATATATATATATTCATTTTATTGAATATGAATTAGCACATTGCCTGGCACTAAATGTTAACTATTCCACTGATAGCTTCAGATTCTCAGATTCACACAGAATTTACCTGGTGAAGGCCTATCATGTGTTGGACATGAAGATGGTGGGTCTATAACGATGAGTGTGACACAGTGTCTGCCTTTGAGAAGTTTATAGTCCGTTGAGTGGCACAGATATGTAAAGAAATAAAGGACAAGTGCTGTGACAGGAGCAAGCATTAGGGCGCAATGGGAACAGAAGCAAGAGGTTCCTAGCTGATCCTCGGGAGAGAGGCAGTCAGGCTCTGCTTCCTGGAAGAGGTGATCTAGTAAGATGCGGACCAGCGGAGGAACAGGAGTTAACCCGTGAGGTGAGGACATTGCTCTGGCAGAGGGAGAAGCAGCTGCAAAGGCTGTCTGACGAAGTCGTGCCAGCAGCACTGTGAGGGCTGCTCTCAGAGCCTTGCAATGGCCCATCCGAGTGACGGGCCTGGGGTTTCAGCTTTATTAACTGTATGGTTAATTTGTCTCTGGATACCAGGGAAAATGTTGGGGTCTGACTTTAACCCCTCTGTGCCTCAGTTTCCTTGTTTATAAAGTAAGAGTGGTAATCTTTTTCTTTTGTGGTAAGGATTGGCTAAAACAATATGTGAAAGCCCTGGCAGAGTGCCTGACGATGGGATGGATAGGATAGATGATTAATAAATATCTGTTCCTTTTTTTTTTTAACTAAAACACACTATTTATCTCCTTGCAAAGAAAACTCAAATCTGTTCACCAGAAGTAGGCTTCATTACAAAAATGATAACGGTTCCTTGCTGCTTGGAGTGAGTCACTGCCTGTCTTTACAGCTACTGTTGGGACCTTTGGTACAATGAGCTGCCCTTGCTTGATGTTGGGTCATGTTCCCAATCGAGAAAACGCTGGCACTTTTCTTTAGGAATCCACTGATTGCAGTGGGAACCTTAGAAATAAAAAGGCTAACCCAGCAATGCTAGACATGTTGCAGTTTCCTGGGGAGGCAGCGTGATGTAGTGGGGCAAGTAGAATTATAGGCATCCAAGAGCACGGGGTTCAAATTCTGTTTCATTGCATTTAGGCTGTGTGGTCCTAGGAAAATCACTTAACCTCTCTGGCCCCAGCTACCTTATCTGAAAAATGGAGTGAATAGTCTCCACATTACCAGGTCATTTTGAGAATTAAGTGTATTGGTGGGGAAAGTGTCTTCCAGAGTGCCTATCACATTATAGGCGTTCCATAAATGCTGCCTGATATTACTTTACAAAATATTATTAAATATCCACATGCATACACTTTTAAAGAATTGACTCCCTAACCTTTACTGCTTGAGATTTCCATTCTAGAAACCAAATTTTTAAAGCTTCTGGAAACCTCCCTCACCCCAAATGTAAAGAAAGTCTATTTTGAATTATCAGCTAAAGAAACCAAGCCAGCTTGTGGTGTTTTTAAAGGTGCGCTCACCTGCCAGAAGATGGATTTCATTCATTTTCTTTATATCCTTGGTAATTTAATTCCTCGGTGAAGTTTATGGGCCTTTTTTCTCCTTGATTGTCCTTCTGTGAGTGACAAATACAGATCAACCAGGGACTGAAGACTAAGAGTCAAGTCATGGAGAGCGGTCCCAAAGGAAACCAAGTGGGAGATGTGCAAACCAGGCATCCAAATTAATACACTCTAACTTGTAATAACATTTGTGCAATAATGATATTCCTTTACGGTTTAATATTCTATTCAGCCCCTTTAAGAGATTACCCTGGGCTTAATGAATGACCAATGCTTATTAGGTTAAGTTGTATTTGAGCTGGCCTGTGCTGCTCTGGTTCAAGTCATTTAATGGGAATTATTTAATAGGTATTATTAGGATAATTAGAAAATGATCACAGTTAGGCAATAATATTGAGTTATAAAGGTTGTGAATTACCAAATTTAGAGACAGGCCTGAAAATATGAGTAGTCTGCGACAGTTATGCAAGTCTCCTCTCATAATTATGTGTGCCAGCCTGAAAGGGTCTTTTGTTCCTAGGAGTTATTCATTAGGCGGGCATTGAATTAGAGGAACATGCGGGGGTGCAGGACAGAGGGCAATGATGGCTGATGAGCAAAATGAGGCTTTGATGAGCTCCTAATTGTCGTGACAACAATTCCTGCTTTCTTTTCCCCCCAACAGTCAGAAATAAGCTTCCCCACCCCTGTGGGGAGGGCCTTTCCCCATTTTGTGAAGGAAAGGGAAACAAAGAAAAACAAAAATCCAGCAATCCACCCCAGAAGACAAGTCATTATGTTCTGTAGGAGGGTGTGTGTGTGTGTGTGTGTGTGTGTGTGTGTGTGTGTGTGTGTACGTGTACATGTACATGCACGCACTCACTATGGAATCGATTCTCCTGGTGGTCCTGGCTGTGGCCTGACTGCCCCGGGCCCCCCACCTTCAGGAAGGAGGCCCACCTGAGCTTTGCCAGTCACTTAGACTATTCTTGGTCAAGACCCTGTTACCTACTGGTTTGTTGGTTGTCAACATGGCAGTCAGTGTTATGTACCGGGGCCATGGAACACCCCAGTTTAGCAAGAGACCACCATTCATATTTAGATGGTCTGGATAAAGGAATTTGTGCTTTTTTTCAATACCTGGAGACAGGTGAAATGTGATGAAAACGAAGAGTGACTTTGAAGGAGAAAGGATTTATCCCCAGGGGAGGTGTATGGGAACGTTTACCACCTGGTTGCCTGCATTGAACTTCTTGCATTTTTTTTTTTTTAAGACATAGATGCCTTCCCCTTCAAAAGATAGAGGTTTACAAGGAAAAATCAGAATGTGCAAGGCTGCCAGCAGGTGGCAGCAGGAGCACACATTATAACAAGAGAGATTGCAATGAAAACCTAGCCAGGAAGAGGGAAGCAGTTTAGCTTACACTCGGTGGTTTTTATCTTGACCGCTGCTAAGGAACAGAAGGAATAATAATTTCCTGGATAATGTAATGGCGAGGTGTCCTGAAAAGAACATAGATATTAGAATCAGATGCTCCTGCGTTTGAATCCCTTTGCCATTCATAGAGAATGGCCAGGAGTAACAACACTCCGAAATTGATGGCTCTGCAAGCAAGAAATTTGGGTTGGTTTGCCACAACTCTATAATTCAATTAAAGTTAGACACTCTTGAATTTGAATCCCAATGTGGTCATTATGTAACAATTATTTACCTCTTGCCAAACTTTCTCACCTGTAAAATGGACTAATAATACCAACCTTATAGGGATGGTATAAAAACCAGATTAAATGAAATAATGTCAGTAAAGCACCTAAAAAGACTGCCTGGCATATAATCAGTGTTAAAGCAATTAATTTCTTCTCTTTCTTTCATATTCCTATCAATATAAAATGATAATAACCATAATAGCTGAATGGTCAGTGATTTCTCAGATTGTATGTATGTATAGATGCATGTATGTATGTATTCATTCATTTATTCATTCATTCATTCACATTCTATAACTACACTCCCTAGAAGAGATTTAAACTAGTTTCTAAAACATGCAATACATGAATTTCAAGTGCCTGGTCCATATTAGGAGCTCAGTGTAGACAGCTACCATTATCCAAAAACACCCAATTTAGTAAAAGCAGTTCAACAATGAGAACAAAACACTGTGGTTCTGAGACATGCCTCGCTGATGGTCTGCCATAATTTGGGGACACATTTCAGGGAATGGACTTCCTTTAGGTAACCTTCCACAATGATTTGTTCCCTACCTGCACTGCAAGGCAGTGAGTCCAAGGCTTGTTAGCCATCATGAGTGACTGGTTGCTGTGCTCTCAAAAGTCAGCAGAGCCGGGAAAGGGGTGAGATCCTTCTCTGATCCTAGAGGAGTCTGATTGTCTGAATATAAGGTGGCCATAAAACTGGAAACACACATAATATTATTTCACTACATAACTCAGTGGAATACGGTCAAGAAAGAACTCCAGCTTCATTGAGAATGGCCAGGAGCAACAGGACTTCAAAGTTGAGGGCTAAGCACCACAACTCTATAGGTGCTGAAGTGAACCGTGAAATGCAGTGCATCAGAGCAGCAAGTTTATTTTACTCACAGTACAGCAAACAGCTGGAGTGGCCGCAGGGTACAAGTTGCCCTGTACTCAAGTCCTGTGGTGCGATCTGATAAGTTCAGGTGGCAGCTGTGCACACAGTGGATTGTGCCACAGCTGAGGAACTCAGGGCAAAAAACTCAGCAGCTTTTATAGCAAGCAGCAAACAAGCCAGGCCCCTTTTCCCAGGAAGCAAGTAGTTTCACAGTAGTCATGCTGTGGTATCCTGACCCACTTCTCAGAATTGCCTGCCTGACCAGTTGTAGGAATGGCTCAGGGTCAGAGGATGGTTAGGTCTTGCAGCTCGGCACACTCAGCAAAGACACACAGGGATGTGCGAGGTCTATGACCGATTGCCTCACTCAGATGTCAATAATCTATCTATTATGTATTCACCTCTGTTTCCAGCCTCAGCAGCCACCCAGTAGAAAGTCAGTGGCCTTGTAACAGAGATGGGCCCACTGTAGGCGAGACGAAGATTCTTTTCCTGAAGACGTTGGGTCCTTTCCACTGTGTGGATTCCAGGGTCATTGAGGCCTCAGAGTTATATACCCTACACCATTGCTTCACACAGCTAAAAACCTCAATGTAAAGGACACTTACAAAACCCTGTACCCCCAAATTAGAGATTGAATATTCTTCTCAATTTTGCATAGTGATTCATAAAAATTGACCATATTCGTAAAGTAAATCTCAGAGAATCTACATTATACAGACCCCATTCTATACTACAATGTAATTAACTTAGAGATCAACAACCAAAAGATAGTTTTTAAAACCATGCATTTAGAAAGTAAAAATATACATTTTTCATGAATCAAAGAAAAAATACTTGGAAATTTAATATACTAAATATAAAAACAAAACTCATGGGATGCAGTGGATGTGGTGCGTAGGGGTATTGCCTTAAATACTTTTATTAGAAAAGAAGAAAGTCTGAAAATTAATGAGCTAAGTGTTCAATTTAATTTTAAAAAAAGAAAGTTAAATAAACT